TTAAGCTGGAAGAAAGTGTGCAGGTGTTCAGTCTCCAGGAGAATCTTCCAGGACCAACTTCTACCTGGTTTTGTCAGGTTATTTTTCTCCCATAGTAGCCATTTCTGCTCCAGGAGAAAAAGATTTAATGTCTACAAACTAGGTTTCTACCAGGAGAAATATTCTCCCAATTTCTGGAGAAATTAATATTCTCCCAATTTCTGGGCCACTGACAACCCAGAGAAGACAAGCCCTTTGATGCTTTTCAGAGTCAATTTCTCCAGTGAAATAATTTATACCTTTACAGGATTATAACAACAAACATTCCTCATTTGCATGAAAATATATTTACAAAAAGCAGATGCCTTCCCCCCCACCCCAGAATAAGCAGTTTCCCACTATCCAAAATTATTCTCTTCAATTACCAAGCCAATTCTGCTCCACCCCTTTGCCACCAAGTACACTAATCACTAGTCCACTTCTTTGTTGCCAATCTTGTTGTCCTAAATCCACCAACACTTTTTTGTCTACACCACTCATTGTTTTCCCACAAGCCACAAGTGATGTCCCTGACAGTTATGTATTCTCCCTTCATATAATCATCATTGACCTTTTCCTCATGCTGTCACAGATAACAATTTCTCTTTGTGCTTTGTTTTGGTTTTCAGGATGCTGTTCTCATCTCTCCACATACTAATGTTGTTAAAGTACCCCAGTTCTCATAGCCCACAGCACCCAGGTGAGTCATGTGGCTAGCATCACATCCAGCCACCTCTGACATCCTAGTGTGAATGACCAAGTACCAATATTGAGCCAGGCTGGCTGTGGGCTACCTCCAACAAATCCAAACTCAATCCTGGGGAACTATAATCCTCATCTACCGTTGCTCTCAATCACTCAGCCAGTATCTATTAATCTTTTCCCCCTCTCATGGTTGCTTCTCTTAGAATTCTGTTCCTCATCCTCTACTTTGTCCCTTTAAATTTTATTCAGGTGATTTAATCTGTTCTCTGAACAACAACTATATCATCTTTATCTGAATGAGCAAAACACCTGTTTCTGTCCCAAGTGTCTCTGTTCAGTCTCAACCAACTTCCAGTCCCTAATAACACTCCCATTAAGCTCAATTTGGTAGTATCTGAAGTTTTCTTTCTGCTTAAAAATAATTCTTTGTCCCACGCTTCAGAAGCCTTTGCTTATGAAATCTATGCAGTCCTCTTTCACCCACTCTCTCCAAATCAAGCAGTTCCCAAATGCAAGTGATCCTTCTATGCTAATCCATCTCCTCCTCTCTCCATTGACCATATCCTGACCCAGTTATAACAGCCCTCTTTCCTCACACATTCAAATTACTACACCTAAAATTATTTCTTTTTCTACCTTCCCTGATCATGTGAGCTTCAGGTTCCCTTTTAGTTCCCTTCCCTGGCTCTTACTTGCCTTACTTACCAAACTACTTTTCCTCCAAGGTCCTGAACACTGTCCTTTCCTGTGGCTTAAATCCCACCCCAACCATTTTATTCAATTTAAACTTTTCTTTATTTTTCCCATGCATCTTCCCTTAATACTTGTGTTCTTTTGTACTACCCAAATTGATTAAAATGAACTCCCTTCCAATATAAGCAAAACCTCTTCCGACTAGCTTATATTAAAACTTTTCACCATGACCAATGTTTAAGTTATCTCCCAAATAATTGTATAAAAGTGGCTCTGTATCTGTATAATCAGTATAACAAAAGCAGTATAATTTATGATTAGATAAATCTTAGGCTGCCGTACGCTGTTGATGTTGGATAAATACATTTTCCAACAAACAGGCTCCATGAATTCTTGAACTGCTGTATGGATTCTTGACTGAAGACTTATCCAGGAGAACACTGAGGAGGTTTCTCTTGGTCAGCTGCAACATCACTTCCATTTTAGATTATTATTCCAGATGCTCCCTTTTCCAGACTTATTCTCTGGAACACGTTTTAACAGTTTAAAATTAATTCTGTAAGAGTGACAGGAACAATATTTCATATAATACTAAAAAAGAACAGACCTCTAAGAGTTGTCTTAAATATTCTTTGTTCTCTCTGAATTGTTTTAGGTCTCTCTCCCTAACCCAAAAATAGATTTGCAATTCAACCACAATAGTGAAAAAAGACTTTAAAAAAATAATAATAATAAAAAATCACAGGCTCACATAAACATAGATGGTGTACTCATATTTCTGTCATTTAAAACCTATCAAAATACATCATTCAGTTAGGATTCTTGGACTCCATACTGCTAGAAATTTTAAATTATTTTTTCCTACCTGTTTTTCATAATGTAAATTGAGTGGCTTACTACACGCCAAACATTTTACTTTAGAAGTTGTTCCTTTCAAAACGAGATAAAATGTAGCTATTTGAGGTTTCCCACACTGCCTCAAATAAAATATTATTTACATTTATGAGGACTAGATCTACCCTTTTTTCAACACGATGATGAAATTATTCAGAGAAATGCCATAAATAGTGTATATTTAAAGAGGGGTGAACAGTTTATAAAGATGCTCATTGTCCAGTTCCACTTGAAGAGATATATTTGGAGAACTTCTCTGCAAAAAGAAAACTTCTAATTACAATATATACACACCCCATTGTGAAGCATAAAGCATTTCCTAACAAATTTTAATAATGGCTATCCTTCATATTAAGAGAGTAAAAAGCACAAGATTGTACAAATGCCCCTTAGCACAATACATTAGGATTTGCTGCACAGAAGTTCTGCAGTACTACAAAAGTAGTCAAAACATTAAAGTTTAACACAAATGTAAATAGCTAAAAAAACCAAAACCTAACTTGGATTATATAGGCAAGTTCAACTATAACTAGTATTTTAAAAAGAACTAAGTCTCTTCTAAACAAGGTCAGTTCTGGGCCAGTACTTTGCACAGCAAGTTCAGAAGAAAGTCTGTTTTTGAACTGAGAGCCACAGAAAAAGTCAGGTTCTGAAACCAACACAAATACTGTTTATTTGTGGGATGCATTAACTCCAGCATAACCTAAAAAAGCCAACGAGCTGAACTCAGGTTAAGTGGCATAACAGTACTTTAGTCAGGCTGCGAGTCACAGGACTGTAGCACGCCACATGTATGTAATATGCAAATACCTAAGAGCATTCACAGTTGTAGGTTAACTGTTGTCCCCGTAACAGCAGTGTTGGTAAAAACTATTTTGCAACAACACACGAACGGACAACCCCCTCCCCCCCACACACACAACCCCCCACCCTCAAATTTTGATCTGAATTACAGACAACCAATGGTTGTGTTGGTAAATGAATTGTATACACTTATACAACAATATGAAAGGATAAAATATAAGGCTTACAAGAGGTATTTCTAGCAGGTATATTAAATCAGGGGCACAAGCTAACCTTTAAAGTTCTCATACTTAAGTTTCTTAAAATACTCTTGAAACAAATACGTTAAACATGTGACGAAAGGTCAACAGAAATCTGTAAAAGCCCCAGCAAAACTAAGATACACCTCCACCCATCCAAAATATGTCTGAAGAACATTAGATCAGCAGCCCCATTTGATTGTGCATTAGCATTTTTGAGGAAATAATGAAACACTTGAGCTTGTGATACAATAGTAAAAATCTGTGGTTAATTGTTTGTTTAGACTCACAATGGGAGCTGCTACAAAAACTTATTCTTAATCAATTCTCATTGCTTACACTGTATTTTTATTTGTAATAGACTTGCTTTAAAATGGACAATAAAGGTAATACTCAGGAATAAACAGCACATCCCCATCTATTAGTGTAGGATTGTTCTACTCTATCTGGCAGCAGAAAGAATTGGTATAAGTATGACCTAACAGTGTTCTCCTGAAACTAACATTCCTTATTCTTAATCTATTAAATAAGGAACTTTAACAATGCCTATCATTAATCAAACTTAAATATTTTTGTGATACGAATCAATATAGTACCAGAACACTAATTTCCTCTCTTCACTTGCCACAGTTACACATAGGTCATTAAATCTTCACTATAGGGACAAGTATTTTACACCAGAAGTATGTGCGAAGAATTTAAGATATGCTCCTGACTATTCTGTGTCTTTGATTTAACTTTTGGCCAAAAAATTGGTATATTTTCTTCATTTTCTATTAAAGAACAAGGGGTATGACAATGTGCTATTTTTTCTTAAAGGAAACTATGTACTTAATAGAAGGCAAAGTGAACAATTTTAAAAAGTTGTCATTTAATGTAAAAAGTTGTTCCACTAAGATGCATTCAGCCTTGAAGTCCTCTATTTATCCACAGACCAACTACAAGAAAGGCAGCAGAATGGCAAGCTGGGTTAATGAGCTGGGAAATTCATTCAGTGTCAAGTCATTCAGCTTTGGGTTTCTACAATGTAAATGCCAATAAAGGTGCTAATTATCTGCAAGTATGTTAGCAGTTTGCTTTATGACACCTGCATATTAGAAACTTGCTGAGGACCAAAAATACAAATTTCATCTCTTCAACTGAAAGGATAGGCAATTCCAGTCATCATTAATATGGTCCATATTTAAACCAACTTCCCCCTCCTTGCTCCCCCTCCTAATAAATAGTTTTTAAATTAAATTTTAGATTCTGTTAAACAGTACAATCTGCAAAAGAACAGCAGGGTGTGATCTAAACACACAGATTTCTGTTGACCCTATTTTGCCAGATATCTATCGCATTACTGAGTTTCTTTGGCTCTTGCCTCCATTATTGGAAGCCAGGTTATCTGCAACATGCAAAACTTTTTCTGCCACAAATCTTGCATTTTAGCATTAATTGTGCCACCCTTGCTAAAAGCTTGCCTGAAATTGTAACTAGCTTAGTATTTATGAACACTTACAGTATTTCACTTGTTTCTAGCAACCATGATACAGCCTCTTTTCAAGCAATATTGCTTCCAAGTTATTTTAGCGAACTAAACCAGTAGCTCCACAGATGTTTTCTCTATAGCTATACCTGTAGTAACATACACATTTACATTAGAAATCTTATTAAAAGCAGGTGTTTTAATAAGAGGCTTATTGTAAACAAATGCCATACTCCATTTAATTATCATCATGTGCAAACTAGCATCAAATATGGAATTCATATTATGTGTTAGCATACAAACAAGTATGCTATGTATGCTTTGTCATTATGAAACCTTTGAGAGTCCTATTTGTTTTTATCCCCTGGCAACCTAAACATGACTTTGGTGGGAAAAGGCAGTATTTTCATCTTACCATGATGTGATTTTAGATTTTGTATATGCACATATACTTTTAAATATATACATGACTTTTGTCTTTGGTGGTTGAATTCGTAAAAAAAACAGTTTTAAACACAAACCAATTACAAATAGCAAAAGACCTTAGACTTTCTGGTCCAGCAGAGCAGCTTGGTGTGCTTTTGATTAATTAGGCGTCATCCCAAAGTTCTGTCTTTGACACAATCAGGAGTTTTGTCAGTGATTTCAATAACAGCAGAACTGGACCTTTAGTACAGCTGGAAGTTTGGGATATTTTAACTGATCCTTATGGGCCAACATTTAATAGCACCAGATACTTCAACAACCTGTTTTTTAAATCAACATTGACATTACTTTACGAAGAAAGGTAAGGCAAAGACAACGTGACAGAAGTAGAGAACTTTAGACACCACTCCATTCACTCATCTCCCCAAAGCAATGGCTATCACCTTCTTATGTAAATAATCAAATGAGTGAAAAAGGAAGGAGCCCGTAAAAAACGAATTACATAGTTAACTCTTAAATGCTGGTGTTTAATGTGCCCATTGCCTGCAATGGACATTCTGTCAGGAAAATCCAAACCCAGCATGAAAAAAGTAGTAACTTTTCGTTATTTAGTGTAATTTTTAATTATTCAGTCACACAAATTTATAGCATGGGAAAAACTAACTGAAATTACAAACAAAAATCCAAGCCTAGGTTACCTGTTGGTTAGGGATTATAGGTCTTAACTCCCCCACCACTAATTTTAGATAAAAGTTTAAATTTCTCTTTATGGCAACACAGTCCAAACAACCTTGGTAAAATCAAAACAAAAGAAATATGCCAAAGGCAATTTACAAAAGTCTAAAACCCATTTTTCAAAGGTACTTTAATTTGCTCACTTGTACCTACTATAATCAAACTACTGCAATTTTAACATTAAAATGCCCATACTTTCTTCGCCAAGTGGAAATCATCTCTGGCATGTACAACTATTACAGTTTTAATAATTTTTAAAAGACACCAATACTTTTCCCCTATTAAAGAAAAGTGATGTTTGGCATGTACCTGCAAAGTAAGTTTTAATGAAGCTTCTCTCAGAAACTGGCATCTTAAACAGTAACATTAAAACTTGCAATAGTTCCTTGTGGTAATTACGTCCAAACAGTCTGTAATTTTTTTTTTTTGAAATGCTACATTTGAGACCAAATGAAAAAAAAAGATAAAATAAAAGTTACATATTCATTGAAGGTGACTAGAAATATGCCACAAAATTATTTTTACAATACATTTCTGCAGAAATAATCCCTAGGTGAAGCATTTTTATACACATATACAAAATTTAGACAGCAATATACACATAATCACAGTGAGGACGCTGGCAAGTTCACCAATTTGTAGTGTAAATACAAAATGCAAAGCAGCTTTCAAAGAGAACAATGCTACACAGCAAGCAGAGCTGGCCTGTTAAATAGCAAACACCGAAAGTTCCCTGCAAAAGGGATACAGTGCAAGAAAAGCAGCATGCACTTTGATACAAACAGCAGTTTATGGCTAATGGTTGACAAAACTGTGGTAACAGTGACTCTTGAGCAGCTCTGCATAGTTAAATTCCTATGTCATCTGTTTTCCTTTATACCACTCCACAAATTCATCCAACAACACTGGCCCTGTAGAGAGATATCAAATTATTACATTTCATTACATTTTTTCTCATCTTGAAAAATGAATTGAAGAATTAGGGTCATATGGAGAAAACGAGAGGGAATTAAGAATACTTCTAAAGAAATAATACTTACAGGCCCCATCTTCATCATAATTACTGAGGTCAAGATTAATTGTTCTGCTGAATTCTAGAACATTGCACCATTGGTCCTTGTTGATAACTTTGTATTTTGATTGCTGCTTGAGACAAGAAGCATAAATTATAAAAGGGACCCTGGTTTTCTCTGATAAAAAAAATTGCAAATTCTCTGGTAAGACCCCCAAAATTCACGATAAAAATCAAACACCATTACACACACACACACACACACGTATATACACATACATATACATATATATAGTGTGTGCGCGCACATGCGCGTGTGTGTATAGATACATAGATATATATATATGGAGATATAGATATAGAACAAAATGTTTTATTGATATGTTTACAATTTTAAAGCAATTTCAAATCTACCAGTGCCTCAATCACTATAATGAATTCTACATAGCTATAAATTTGGTATTAAATTTTGATTTTTTTATCATGGCAAATCAGAGTTCCCCCTACTCCCTTAGCTCACAGAACACAGGTCCAGGCTCCTCATTCCCAAACCACAGCCCTCCAACCCTGCTGGTGCCCCTCACTCCCAACCACAGCCCCCTGGGCCCTTCTGGTGCCCCTCACCCCCCCCCCCCCAAGGCCCTGCTGGTGCCTCTCACTGTCCGCCAATAGCCCCCTGCCTTGCTGGTGCCCCTGACTCCCCAACCACAGCCCCCTGGGCCCTTCTGGTGCCCCTCACCCCCCCCCCCCCAAGGCCCTGCTGGTGCCTCTCACTGTCCCCCAATAGCCCCCTGCCTTGCTGGTGCCCCTCACTCCCCAACCACAGCCCCCCTGATCCTGCTGGTGCCCTCACACCCTGCCCCACTCCACAATCCCCTGGACCCGCTGGTGCCCCTCACTCCACGTCCACAGCCCCCTACCCCTCCTCCCCCAACCCTGTCAGAGGGGGCCCCTAGCTGCCAGGGCTACAGGGTCAGGGTCCACAGCCCCTACTCCCTGCAGCAGCACCCAACCCCCGGCTGCCACCTGCATGACGCAGCAGCTGCTGCAGCGTAGCGGAGCATGGAGCCTGGCTCCCTCCTGCCAGAGGCAGCACAGCTAGAGCAGAACCCATGCGGGGGGTGGGGGCAGGTGCAAGCTGCCCGCTGTGGGTTCGGGCAGGTGGGGCTGGCTCCCCTCTGCTGAGTGCACTCCCAGGGACAGGGCAGAGGGAACCCGTGCCCCCCAGATCTATGCGTGGGTCAGGGGTGGGCTGCCCACTGCTAGCTGGGGCTCCCTGCCTTGCTGCCCTCCCCCAGGAACTCTGCAGCCCAGCGGGTGAGGCCCAATGCGGCAGGGCAGAGTGGATCTGGGCAGGGAAGCTCAGTGCCACTGCGAGCTCTGCACTGCCCTGGTGAGAAACCACCCTTCAGCAGCGAGGGGCACAACTGCACGCCGCCACCCCTGCTGCTGCCAGGTGGGCACGGGATGCCTTGCAGGGTGATACAGAGCTTGCAGCAGCAAGGAGCTTCCCCACCTGGCCCCACTCTGCCCTGCAGCACTAGGTCCCACTCACTGGGCTGCAGAGGCCCTGGGAGAGGGCAGCAGGGCAGGGAGGCTGAGCCTGCCCCCATCCCACATACAGAACTCTGCGCCCCCCCCACCGCAGGTTTCTCTCTGCGCCCCCCC